TGACATATTTCGAGCAGTGCAACTAGAGAAATTTTGGCAGAGGCAGTATAGTGAAGCACCGAATAAGTGGTTCCTCCTGGCGGCGTATCCGATGGGTTCGAAGTACTAGAGGATTAGTCTAGAATGCAGCGTTCGAAATGCATTATTCGTGCGAAAATTTATTTAAAAGATTTGGTAAAACAGGTGAAAAACTGTTTCTGTGCGGCCTACATATCCAAAACCAGCATTCGCTTTTCTCATCCGGGGAAAGGGCTTTTCTTGGATTTTTTCTCACCTCGGATTTCCTTTTAGTCATTTGAAATTTCACATTTTTAGGGCGTTTTGGAATATACGCAAGTGCAAAAAAGCATATTGTAACAGTCTCGATCTCCACGTGTGTGCGCGCGTCTGTCTGGGTATTTCAATTCGGCAACCAAACAAGCTCCGGCGTTAAAATCTTGTCACTCGGTTCCCCAACGAAGTGCCACCCTACGGCTGCGGCACCAACCTTCACGTACGTCTGAGCCCCACACTCGAGCTCGTGAAATTTTGGCAGGAAATCGCCAACTCAGAAACCAGGAAAGCTGAGAGGGAGGGGGGATGGCTGAAATTTTAAGAAAATGTCCTCAGCTCCCAAAAGATTTTAAATTCAGCACCTAGTCTTGCATAGTTCTCATATACAGCACTGTGAAAATTTTTGGTGGGAAAGTTGCTAGCTCGGGAACCAGAAAAACTGGAAAACTGAAGTTTTATCATGACGTCCCCTGTTCAAGTACCGCGTAGTTGCACAATTGACTTTTTGAACTTCGAGGATTAGTACTTCACAAATTCTAGGTGCTGAGATTCCAAGCGATCATAATACAACACAAAGTACTGCAAAACGCATGATCGCACGGAGCCTGGTGCGCGTAATCAGTGGTTTTGAATAAAGCATTAACCAACGTTGAGACAGTGTTAAAACACTCCCGTAACATCTTTAAACAATGTCAAGAGCTTATCTGTCCTGTACAATAATAAATGGTACTAGTTCAACTTAAAATGATTAATGAGAACAACAGTCACTCTCATGGGGCATTAATAGGAATGATGCTGCAATTATCCAAGACCATCTGGACAACCAATATAGGTATCAATGCGAATTATTATTGGAGTCAGCCTGTATGTTTGGTAAAACTATGCCAGGCTACTTGGATTTGGACACTCTTGATTTTCTTGATTTATAAGGTAGCCTTCCTTAATTATCTGAAGATCCAAGGGCTTGACACACCAGCTCTTGGCATTTTTAATTATTCCAGCAACATCATTCAGCTTATAGAGCAAAATCTAGGCTGGAAGGCATTAACTTGCCGGTGCGATTATTAGTTTTTGCGCTAGACTTGAAGCAATCAAGTCGTTAAATGCATGCGGGGCTGCTGCTTTACATTTACATTGTGCGCCCACAAGCATAAATCATCGTAAATTTTTCATAAAGGAAAACGAACAATTTCCATTTAACGACTGTTCCTTGAAAATGACCTAGCTCTTCAGTGAGCAATTTTTGTCCCGCCAAAACCTTTGATTACCAATGCGTGAAAAACACGCGTACCCGGGAGCTGAATTTGGAATCTTTAAGGTGTATTTGGACAGGGAACATTACCCTAACATTTTAGGTTTCTAGCTTTTCTGATTCCCGAGTTAGTAAGTTTCCCGTTGAGACTTTCACGTGCTCATACGCAGAGCTCAGACATGCATGAAGGTTGGTACCGCGGTTTTGGAGTGGTACATGACAAGAAAACCCACTGGCAAAATTTCAAGGCATGTTTGTTCGCTGAATTGAAATACTCGGACGGATGAACACATCACGGATCGTCACATTATGTTTTTGCATTTGAATACATGCAAAAACGCATAATGAGGAATCAGTTTCTTAGTTTAACATTTTATGGCCTTAAGTCAATGTAGACTTCAAGATACTGTTTGGTAAAAGAACAAACCTTTCAGGCATGAATTTCCGGAATCCACAAAAAACTCAAAACTATTCGACCTAACCTCATATCCATGTTTAAATTACAGGTATGGTTGTAAGTCATCGGTTGGATCAAAAAATATGCGGCAAAGAAATCGATATGCATTCTCAAAACCGATCGCAAAAATGCATAGTCACCCTAACTGTCAAGCTGCTGTTTCACAAAAATTGACTCTTATTTCTTCTATTGATTGTGACATAGGAGTAAGACGAGGTAGTGACGACCAGTATACACACACACACACACGCACACACGCACACACACACACACATACACACACATCTTGCAACGGCTAAACTCTTCCTTTTATCCAGAGTACTCGTACAGGAGATGAAACGTACGACAGGACTGCTAGCAGCACCCTCGTCATTAGGCGATGCAGCATTGGTCAAAGCATTGGTCAAAGCAAATAGAAAAGCTGTCAGCTACCTAGCTGGAGGAGCAGACTGTAAATTACAGTACCAAAACAACATATATTTGCCGAGCCAAAAAATTTCGAATTTTCAGAATGGTCAAACACGAAAGTGAAATTCGCGAACTAAAAAATTTATTTTAAAAAAATGGTACACCGGATGGCTATCAACACACACCCACACACACGCATCCCATTAACAATGATGGTGCTCCCACTACGGACGTATAGGGCTGTCGTAATTGTCGTCGCCCATCCGTTGATAATGGGTCGATCGGCTGTTGCTCGATTGTTTGCCGGTGGGGTTTTATCGACGGGTTTCTCAAGTTCATTTTAAAATTTACTCCTTCTCCAGATTGTTCCGCCTTTGCCGTTATACGTGCCGAATGTTTCTGGAACGAATACACTCCGTCTTCCGCTCCTTATCCTCATCCCCACCACCAACCTTCCCCGCATCCGTTCCTCTTGATCAGTCTCCGCGTATTGCCAACTGGTAAGTCCTTACAAAGGGGCATGTACCGCTTTCTCATCCACGTCAACCCTTCTTCCATCTTGCTCATCTTCTGTTCAGGACTGATGTGAATCTGAATCACAGACTGCACAATCACTGCCCTCATGAATTACCTCTTTGCATATAAAGAAAACCATTGTGGGGTAGAGGCTGAAAAAATCCAGCAGTGGAAGTGTGCGGACAGAAGAGCATGGATAACAAATGTCAAATAGACCACCACGTGTTTCCATAAGTAAGCTATACTTGCCCTCACTTCGAACCGCGTATAAAATCGATCAAATGCAAACTATTGTAAAATAGTCGCCTATGCTCATCTGCTGCAAAAATTGATTTCACTAACAAAGAATATCGAAATTTATTTTTAATAATTAAAAAGTGCTCAAAAAGATCGCATAAAAAACATGAATTTGTTTCATTCTTTAAGCAGATTCTTGACCAGCTATTTGGAATTATGTAGATAAGGAAGACTCAGAAGAGAGAGGAATAAAGAAGCTGCATCAGTGGCGAGTAGAAAAGCGACATGAAACAACAGCTGTTCGAAGTATTAAAATAAGCATTTCCTTCACTGCCCCAAATTTGTATCTGAAAATTCACTATATCTCATGGATCGTTTTACCGCATAAAATCCTAACAGCCTCAAGATGTTGCTACTTACAAAAACTTTAGGATAGCAGTTTTCACCGATTCATTCTTTTTTTTTTCGCTAAAGAAGACGGGTTGTTACTAAAGTTGAGAATTTTTGATATTTCCTTCCAGAA